TTACAAATATAGTTATTTGGCTTATATCGTGATAGATATCGTTATCGCCTGAAATGAAAAAAACATATCGTGATATAAAAAAATCTCATATCGCCCAGCTCTACCTCAAATGTAATTGTTACACCTGGTAAAGCAGCAACGCTGATCATTTTATTACAGATGAAAGAAATTAGACAGTTTTTAACTCTCAGTGATACCGTAGTGTTCGTTTGACTTTGGGACCTGAAACGGACGGAGTTGACTACGGCAACTTTCCCAGAGCAAAACAGCAGGTCTGTCCTGAATAAGATCAGCAGTGGGCTTTTGCCTTTTATTAAACCGGTAATGTTACTTTGGTGAAACCTGAAACGGTACAAAATATGGATACAGCAAAACAATGTCACCAACTGATATTAGAAATCTTGTTTTGAACTCTCTGAAGATTTTAACAATGCCATCTTGGTGTTTTGAAACCAGATGTGAATGATAATTGGCCAGTGCCTTGTCAATCAGAAGTTTCTAACTAATGAGTATACCGTTGATACACAGTATTACCCTGAAACACGGTATGACTAAGTATTACAAAGCGGGCTTGATATTTTATTCAACACAGCCTGAAAATAGTAACAGACCACAAACTTAACAGGAAACTACTTATAGAAGTCAAATCAGAAAGCCGTTTTCAAACAGACAGGGCGCCAGTATACCCTCTGCATTGGTCACTTAGCTCGCTGCCAGGTCATCATCACACAGTCACCTGTATCACTGAGCTTCTGTACTGGACCATCATTAAAATGATGAACACTGACACAATCGTACTGTCTTCAATCCATCTGTGACGGTCGTGGTACAATACGCCAGGTTACAAAAATGAAGCGGGGCACGACTGACTGAAGCACCTCAAATACAGTGGTGCACGCAACGTCAAAAAGATCAGCACATGCTGACTATAAAGGGTTGGCAGTCTTTTTGCAGCAACTGTATCTCCCCCGGTGGCCATTTAAAAGAATGCAGCTTTTATACTGCTTTTATACTATGAGTAAAACTACCAGCTGCATTAAAAAAAATAAAAAAATAAAAAAAGGAGTGCAGCTAGCAGTTCATACAAGAATTAAAGCAAACTGAGCTCCAGTGTAGCATAATGTGGCATAAGTATAATGAATATCAGACTCAATCTCATGTTAGCATACAAGCACAGATGGTAGACAAAGAATAATTGCTACCTCCACTAATCTACAACAGAACCCATTATAATTTCAGTGATAAAATAATGTGCTCATAAACAAGCAGTGTTAAGATGTAGATAACCACACAGTTTATTAGGCTAAGTAATTTGACAAAGCTGCTACAGAACTGGTCATTTGATCTGACTGAATTGGCATATTTAATTCAATTCATATAACGCCAAATGACAACAACATTCATCTTGAAGTGTTTTATATCGTAAAGGTAAAGACCCTAAAATAGACTACTCCTGTAA